GTGCTGACATTCAGTCCAAGCTGCTCCTCCTGCTGTGCTCAGGAGCTGCTGAGCTGGGTAAAGGCTGGGGTTGTCTGAGGAGCTGCTGCCCACGAGGGGATCTCTCTGAGGGGGCTCTGCCTTCCTTTGCACAGGGTAATTACGAGCCAGGGAAACGCCACTGGCTGAAGGTGAAGAAGGATTATCTCAACGAGGGGGCAATGGCTGACACTGCTGACCTGGTGGTGCTGGGGGCTTTCTATGGACAAGGCAGTAAAGGTAGGTCTGGAGTTGGCTTAGGTCAGAGATCTGTCTGTTCAAGGAGCTCCCAAGGTTTTCCAGTTCCAGAACTCCAGAATGAGGGTGGCTGGAGCAGTGGTTACCAGCTGCAGCCCATCATGTCCTTGCTGTGCCTTTGCTGTGGGCTGCTTGGCACAGCAGGGCTGGAGGTGTTGGGCTGGGCTGTTGCACAGTGCAGAGGCTCTGTTCAGCTTTGTGAGCGGCCCTGCAACTATCACAAGCCCAGGCCCCTTTGACTCCCAAAGATACAAAAGGGTTTTGGCTCAGAAAAGCTGTGGCTTGCCCTGTGCAAGCTGTGAACTTTGCTGTCCCTGTGCAGGTGGGATGATGTCCATCTTCCTCATGGGCTGCTACGACCCCAAGAGTGAGAAGTGGTGCACGGTGACCAAGTGCTCTGGTGGCCACGATGATGCCACCCTGGCACGTCTGCAGACAGAGCTGGACATGGTGAAGATCAGCAAGGTGAGAGGGGGGAGCCCAGGGATGCTCAGCTGCCCTCGAGGTGCTGCTTCACTGCAGGGTGGAGGTGCCCTGCCAGGAATGAATCAGAGTTGAAGCACATCAAGCACTTGACACAAGTGAGGTGTCAGAGCAGCCAGCTCCTGGAGAGGCACTGCCTGGGATCTGTACCCAGACACTCAGTGGGAAGCCAGGCACCATCTGTTTCCTGCTAGGACGAGGTTTTGTTGGGAAGATAGCAATTTTTTATCTGGAGTTTTTGGCACGTTGTGATTGGCAAAGGCAGTCACTAGATGGGGCTGTGGGAGGGAAATGCTCAGTCAGGCTCTGGTCTGGTGGCTCCATAACCTGGGGTTGGAGTTAAGATTTCTGTCAGTGGTTTATCTTGCTTTTCAAGGCTGGACAAATAAACAGAGAGCTGAATTTTAATATCACCTTGACATCCTGAAGGCCATTTGCATCAAGGTTGTAGAATCTTTAAAAAAAAAAAGGGTTGTTTTACATTAATCACAATTGGATCAACTTCTTGTTTCACACACAAAATGACAGGAATTGAGGGCTGTGTTCAGGCAATACTTGTGATTTTCTAGATGAAAGAAATGGCTGCAGATCAGTGCAAATTCCATCCATGCAAAGGCAATGTAATACCTTTATGCTGATCTACTTCTAGGTTGTGTTTCAGCAGCTTCTGTTGTAGAGTTAGGTTTATATATGATGATAAGTGTCAATGATTTGAATTTTGTGCTTTTAATTAATAGGATCCTAGTAAAATTCCAAGGTGGCTAAAAATTAACAAAATCTACTACCCAGACTTCATTGTCCCAGATCCAAAGGTAAGCGCTCTCATAATCATTTAACATTTCCCAGCCCTTATTCTGCAATCTTTTATAAATCCTTTAGAAGGACAACTTAGAAGTTGTCTCTGTTACAAAATAAATCTTCATACTTGGAATGGGAAATTAAGCACAAGTTTTTATCTCTCAATCTTGCAGGTGCATTTGAGGCTAAGAGCTTCATGAAGAAATGACACCTGCAGCAGTTTTGGGAAATATTCTTGTGCATTAAATCCCTTCCAGAAGTGAGCTTGCTTTAAATTTGAGATATAAGAAATCTGACTGAAAAGGGTTGAAACACAAAGGGTTTCTTAAATCTGACTTAAAAGGGTTGAAACTACAACCCACAAGTTGCTGTTGTTGTAGGGAGTGTGTCAGTATGCTCTGTATGCCTGAAGGCAAAGGTGTCACTTAGAAATTGGCTTAGTGAAGGATCCTGGCTTGGAGGAAGAGTAGGTTTTGATAAAGAAGGTGACCAGCAAGGTCACTTTGTGTACATGGAGCTGTGCTGGGGAGGAGAGCGAGGGGGGTGAGGCACTCTGAGCTGGCTCCTGAGAGGGAGGACAGGGGTGTGACGTGGCTTTCCCCCGTGTGTGCAGAAGGCGCCGGTGTGGGAGATCACGGGGGCCGAGTTCTCCAAGGCCGAGGCGCACACCGCGGACGGGATCTCCATCCGCTTCCCGCGCTGCACCCGCATCCGCGACGACAAGGACTGGCAGACTGCCACCAACCTGCAGCAGCTCAAGGTGGGTCAGCACGGGGCCCTGCAGCTTCAGACAAATCACAGCATGCACTCGAGGCACCTGCTGCCTGTCACGGCACCTTCTGGTTTCCCTTCATGCCAGGCTCGGGCTGGGTTGTTTTGCTGGAAGCCTTCCAGGTCCCTTGAGCTGTTGTGGTGTTGTGCCCTGTCAGAGAAGTCTCTGCGGGCAGTTGGTTCCATCAGCTCCTGTGGCAGGGTGAGGAATTGCCTTCCTCAGAGGTGACCACAGAATCACAGCATGAACTCGGTTGGAAAAGACCTTTTGAGATCATCAGGTCCAACCTGTGACCTAACACCTCCCCAGCAATTAAACCAGGGCACTGAGTGCCACGTCCAGGCTTCTTTTAAACACGTCCAAGGATGGTGACTGACCTTTGTTCTCTTCATTCTCACTCAGTTTCCCAGCATTTGCTGAGACTGGGAAAGGCATTTGGGAAGTGCCTGTGGGTATTCTGGGGCACAGGGGCCAAGTGGCACCAGCCAGGACCCCTGGGCTGCAGCCAGCCCTGGCAGTGGGAGAGCTGGGGAGCTCTGTTCTCGGGGGAGCTGCTGTAGTTTGGGGCTGGCAGCAGCTGCCAGGGCTGCTGTGCCATGGAAAGCAGGAGTGATGCAGCCCCCAGGGCCTGCCAGGATCCCCATGGGGAAGAGAGAGGAACAGACCCCTCTGCAGCTGGGCCCTTCCCACAGCGGGCAGTGGGCAGTGCTCATCCTTCAGGCTCTGTTGCAGGTGATGTGGATGTGGCTTTTGCTCCTCCTGTGTGGCTTCCCTTAATGCCAGGGAGGGGTGGAACGCAGGGAGCTGGGACAGAGGTGACAGGAAAATGACTGCAGAGAGGTGCAGGAAGAAAAGGCTTTTGAGCAAACACTTCAGGGAGGAGAACACCAGAGCAGTCTGTGCACACAGCTTGTGTCCTGTGTCAGATGTGATCAGGGCTTTTTCCCTGGGCAGGAGCTGTACCAGCTCTCCAAAGAGAAGGCTGATTTCAGTGTTACAGCTGGGGAGGAAGATGAATCCACAGCTGGCAGCAGTGGAGAGAATGATGGGAATTCCAGGTCTTCCACACCTCACAGCAGTATTAAGAGTCCCCCAAGCAAGTCACCTGCAAAAGCCCAGAAGGAAGAAGGTAAGATGATGGTGCTTTCAGGAAGGAGTCCTCTGTGCTTGGGGCAGGCTGGCTCTGGGTCCTTGCCTTCTGTCAGAGACTTGATGGTCCCACCTTTCACCTGGATCTCAGGGATAATGGTCAAAGCTGTTCAGATCCTTGGTTTAGCCCTGTAGCTCTTGAGATATCCTGGGATTGGGAAAAGAGGGATGGAAACAGCTCTGATGATGCTGTTGAGGTTGGTGTTCACTGCTCCCATGTCTGCAGGTCACAGCCCTTTGGTTAGAGATTGTTGGTCATGAGCCAGTATTTAATTTGATTTGGATGGAATTCATGTGGATAAAGGGAAATGTGGCTGGAGGTGATTTCCTGGTGAATTGAGCTGGAACGTGAAGCAGATTGCTGAGCAGTCTCACAGAGGCCAGAGTGGTGACAGCATGGAGGGCAGGTGGCGGCAGCAGCCTGGGAATGCAGTACAAAAATGTGTCTCACTAGTGACAGTAATTCATGGACTTTCCAGAAAGAGGGGAGGAAACTTTTCCCTTCTGCTCTTTACTTTCCCCCAACATTCATACACAACCAGCATCTGGACAGAGCACGTGCATGAGCCAAATTTTTGTTTTTAGACAGCAAAGGAATCGTTGGATCCCCTCAAAAATCCGAGGAGAAACGAGGGGAGAAGAGAAAAGCATCTGAGATGGAGGACAACGGGAAGAAGGTACAGACAGCACCCACGGTGGGGTGGAGGGAGGCTGGGGCAGTTGTGGTCTGTTCACTCCCATTCCAAGGAATGTCCACTCCATTCCAAGGAATGCTTTGCCCGAGCTGTTTCTCCTTCCCCCTCAGCAGCCGCTGCTGGACATTTTCACGGGGGTGAGGCTCTACCTGGCGCCCTCGGTGAAGGACTTTGACCGGATCCGCCGCTACTTCATCGCCTTCGACGGGGACCTGGTGTCCGAGGGGGACGCTGCCTCGGCCACCCACGTGCTCGGGGACGTTGCTGGCAGCGCCGGGGCCCGGCGGGTGACTCCCAGGTGGGTCTGGGAGTGCATCCGCAAGCGCCGGCTGCTGGCCCCGTGCTAGCACCGAGCAGCTGGGGACAGGGAATGGGGAGATCCCTCCATGGAGATGGGGATAGCTACAAAGATCCAGAGCAGCCCTATGGAATGAATTTAAAACGTTCTCTGAAGGAATGTCACTGCTGAATCCCATTTTCCTGCCCATACTGTAGACCACCGCCCGTATCCAGGTGCTGGTTTAGTCTCCTTGGGTTTTTAAAATTTGGGTATTTTTATAGATAAATAAAACTGAAGCAGCTTCTCCTTTGCTGTCAGGATTTATTTTCCAAAGGTTCTTCTCTTCCTGCTCAGGAAAAGAGAGCAGCAGCTCCATGGGACTCTTGCCTGTGGTGCCAAGGTCATTTGTGTTGTCAGGTAATTTTTTTCTCCTCCACCTCTTCTGTACCCTCCCACTAACAGCATTTCAGCACCTGGAATCCCAATTTCTGGCTGAGGTTCAGCAGTAACTGTAGCATCTCTGCTTGTAACAGAGTCAGAAACAAAGTTAACTAAATCACAATTCAACTTTATTATAAAATTATAAACCAGACTTCTGTACCAAAACTAGTAAGTTGAACTGTCATAGTACCAGAGAATTTAACAGTGAATAACATGCCCTTTCAAGTAGAACATTAAGTTTTAAAATCTTTAAACAATGTACAGTGTACATAAAGCACATAAATATTTCCATTTACTTTATTAGTTCAGAACATTATATTCCTTTGGATCATTAATCAGTTTCCTCCAGGTTTTGATTTTCCTTTAAAAACAACTCACTCATACCCATAATAGAGAATCCATTTTTACAAGTGAAACAAGAAGAGTCTTCCATTCACAAAGCACATTTTGAAGTCACAGGGTGGGTGGATCTTCTCACCCCTAAAATTTCAGGCATTGAGCTGCAGCTTGATTTAACTGCTGTAGAACATTAAGCCTACCCTCTACAAGGAAAAGTTCATCTATCCATAGGGGAATCATCTTATTCCTGCTAAGTTCCCCCAGCCCTGAGTTCATTGAAAAATACAACAACATGAATTTTCACAGTGGATTTCCTAAATGAGGCTTTGAGCATGTTGTGTATTCCTGCAGCTCTTCGAGGTCCCTGTGCTCTATCCAGAGCCAGCAGTCACTTTTTACCTGCCCTTTTCTCTGTTGTGCTGCTCTGACTTGTTCAGTTTGTTCTCGTGCTGGATCTGTTAAACCTTAAATCAGAGATTACAGAACTGGCCTGGGACAGAGGTAGAACTCGGAATGCTGAGTTCAGTCAATGCAGCAGCTGCTGCAGTTTTGTGGAGTTCTGGGAGCACCTCAGTGAGAAATCCCTGGCTGCCTCCCGAGCCCTGGATTTCTCATCCCAGGCCCTGTTTTGGCTGCAGTGCCCAGAGCAAAGTCCCTGCACTGGCTGCTCCTGGAACTGCCCTGTGCAGAGCACAGCAGGTGCATGTGCTGTTGCCATCACTGCCACTGCACGGGAGCTCTGCTGCTGTCCCTGCAGCTGCACTTCAGTGCCCCAGGAGCTGTGAGGGGTTTGTGCTGTTCTCTGCTGGCAGCCAGCTGGAACACGGAGCCATCCCCCGTCCCCAGAGCAGCCAGGACAGCTCAGCCTCAGCTGCCCTGCAGTGAGGGGACAATACACCAGTCACAGTCACCTCCTGCAAGAACTGCCACACTGCTCTAGCAAATCTCTTCCAGCTGCACCCACTGCCCAGGAGAGCTGGCAGGGATCAGGCCACAGCCTCTCTCCCCACCCTCAGCAGCAGAAAGGACAAAACTGCTTCTGATAAGCAGTGGAAGGTAACAGAACTGTAAAACAGCCCTGGGGAGGATGGGCAAGCTGATTTGCAGTGGAGATTGCTCCTGGATTCAAGGGACACAAAGGCCTTCTTCCATGATTCCCTTCTAAAAAAAGACAAAGTCACCTGCACTTAAATATGATTGTGTAGCAGTGGAGTCCTCAGTAAACCCTGGGGAAGACTCAAGCCTCGGATTTGTAGCTCCCCACCTCTGGCACATGCTGTGAAGTCAAAGTCGACAAAATCAAACCAGAACCCTCCCTCTGGCACAGAAACAAAAACCCAACACACAGGGCAAGGCTGAGCCTTCCCAGCCTCCCTCCCCAAGAGTTTTCCACAGTACAAAGACAACCTTGATACAAAACTACACATTTTTCCACAATTGCACTAGGCTGGAATTAGGGAAAGCAGGGATGGTCTGCCTGTCCTGCAAGCATAACAATTTTACATTAAATTAAAAAGTACAATTAACAAGCACGGTAACATTTTAATCTTTGAAAATCGAGTTGTTGCTGGGCATAGCCTGAGCAGCAAAACAAAGGACACTTTTTGAGACCCCAGTTCACTTTTATTATTCAGAGATAAATACAAAGCCTCTGGAGCTGATCTTCCTGGTGGAAAGCTGGGCATCCATCTGTCCTCAAATTTTCCTAGGATGGAGGTGGTTAATGATTGCTGGCAATGAGCTCCAAGGAGTCCAGGCACTGTGGTGTAAAGCACGATGGTGGGATGAGCAGAGTCGGGCATGGCTTGAGCAGAGCACTTTCCCCAGGCTTCCTGCTTGTCTGTCCTGCAGCAGCTGATCTCCAAGGTAGCTGTGGCAGGGATGTTTCCCTTTCCCCAAGAGCACTGAGGCTTTAAGGCACAGCAGCCCTGAGCCCAGAGCCACCTCTACGTCCTGAAGACGTGCACGGCCCTGATGACGTACTGGCGGCAGATGGGGCACTCGCTCATGCGCTTCCCGCACTTGGTGCACGTCACCATGTGCCCACACTCCAGCAGCACACAGTCGATGGGAGCATCCATGCAGATCCTGCACAGGTTGTCCTCGGTGCTGGGGGGCCCAGCACCACCTGAGGGGACAGGAGAGCACGCAGGGGTCAGGCAAAGGGAGGTGTGAGGGGTTTGTGCCATCCCAGTTGGATTTTCTGAAGGGATTCCCCAAGGGAAGAAAGTGAGCAAAGGAATTCCCCTTGTGGCTGCTCCATCGGCTGCCAAGGAGAAGTTGTAGCTTTTACACAGTGATTTCTGTGAGATGGAAACAAACACCACTGAGATTCTCGGTGGTGAGGCAAATGAAGCAACATGGGTCTCTTCCCACGTAACAGCACAAGAGGGAATGATCTCAAGCTGTGCTGGGGAGGTTTAGACAGCAATTTTTCCTGATACCCATTTGCAAAAGGGTTGTCAAGCTCTGGAACAGGCTGCTCAGGGCAGTGGTGGCATAAACAACCCTGGGGGGTGTGGGGGTTAAAAGCCATGTGGATGTGGCATTTGGGGACATGGTTTAGGAGTGGCCTTGGCACTGCTGGTTGGACTGGATCTTGGAGGGTTTTTCCCAACAAACAACTCCATGATTAAGGATCTCACTCACCAGTTTGATCATCAGTGTCCAAAACTGCAACAGAAGAAGAGAGGGATTTGGTGAGAATCTGAAAAGCTGGGAGAGAAGTGTTACCAGGCAGAGGCTGAAAACCTCAAGGGAGTTGCTAAACCAAAACTGCTTTTTGCTGATCACCATGGGAGGTTCAGGCTAGGCTCTGATCAGGACAGGTTCAATAACTGACAAGAACTTTCTCCAATACTGAGCTTACAGAACTGTTAAAGCTTCCCAGAGATAAGGGATCCAAAGGGATGTCTCAGTTTTTAAGACAGCCTTGGAATGTGTGCAGAGTTTGGCTTCCCAGTGCTGCACCTCCATTACCCCTCTGCTGCTACACAATCACCAAAAGTGATTGAACACAGACACAGAGTGAGTGAAGGAAAAGGATATATTGCATCAAAAGCACAAGATGAGAGAATGTAACCCCAAAACTGCTGTCTTAAATCTTGGATCATCCATAGAAGACAAAGCCTAGAGAGACGTGTTTAAGAAAACAACACTACTTTGGACATCACTGAGAAACAAATGTGTGAAATCAAAGTGTTAAAGTAAGTTTCTCATGTAAGTAATTTACAAATATGTGTATTTTCTAAGAAATCCCCTCAAAGTGCGAACTAGCACCTGGAAAATCAAGCCAGATATATTCTCTGCGCATCTGAGTCCCCTCAGAGCCACCTGTGCAGGCCCAGGAACATTCTGGTGGTGAGAGAGTGAAACCCCAGCTACCCACAGCTGGGCAGCCCTGGCAGCCACTGCTCTGAGCACATGCCCTGAATCTCCCAGCTGCTCTTTGCTGGCAGTTTCCTGCCTGGGCAGGGCATTTCCCTGCTGGCTTTGCCAGGTACCACAAGCCAAGAGATAAGAGCTCAGCGTATCCAGTCATGTCCAGCCACCCACCAGCTGTTGTGAGGGTGAGGCAGTGCCCAGAGTTGGGGGCATGCACAGCACCAAGGGTGAAGGATGCACAGCCCTTGTGCTGCTGCTGCAGGGCTCCCAGAACTCTCCTCAAACAACAACAGGGAGTGGTGAGCAGAGCTCAGCTCCTTTCACTCAGTACAAAACACTCCCTCCTTCCTCCTCACTCTGCTGCACCAGAAATGTCAGGTAAGTTCTATTTCCTTGTACAGCTGTCCCTAAAAGGCCAAACCTGGAAAACAGGCCCACGTTTGCTAAGTGTGAAAAATGCATATTTTATTATTGGCTTTTTGCAAATGTTATTATGAATATTATATGTGTAATGTTAGAAAGTTATGATGTATTAATTCTCTTACGTGGTGTGTTAAATGTAGTTTTAGCTTACAACATACTGTTAAAATAGAAACTCTGTGATATAGGATTTGTTACAATCTCAAACAGGAAGATGAGATAATAAACTCTTCACACAAAAATGTCAGCAAAGGGGGCCCATAAAAAGTTACAGCCTCCTTATCAGAAAAGACAAAAATTCTTCCACCTTCTCTCCATCTTTGTGGAACCAACAGGATTAAGGAGAAGTTGACAAAAACCAGAAAAGTTCTTAATTTGCAAGGAATTTATGCATCATGTATGAGATATATGAATATGCAACAGGCTATTGCTTTTAAGGTTATTCCTTTGTTCACAAGGGATGCTTTTTGTGATTTAGTGTTCGAGAGCATCCGGACATCCGGAATTCTTTGCTTTTTATAGTCTTGTAATTATCCTAGCTCTAAATTTTATTACTCTAATTACATTACTATTTTTATAATCATTTTATTATTATTAAACTTTTAAAATTTTTAAAAACCAAGTGATAGGCGTTTTTCACACTAAGTCTCTCACCTAGATGTTGAAGGTCCTTCTCTCTGTAGAGGCGAGTGACCCTCTCCAGCAGCTCCCACTTCTCACAGCAGCCTTTGTAGTTGACGAAGTTGCGGGCGAGGATTTCCTTCAGCTGGCGCACGGAGAGCGCGTTGATGTCCCCGACGCTCGTCAGGTCGGACAGGGAGGCCTTCCTGCCCAGCACCGGGTTCTCCTCGGAGTCACTGGACTGGCAGGAAGCACAGAGGGAATCATTCTTGCCCTCAACACCTTGAACTACGGTATCAATCAACTTCCAGCATGTGTGTTAGCAGGAATTCAGGTTTGGATGTACAGAGAAGTGGCTACTCTGAATTCATCTACCAGAAACACAAATTTTGAGATAGAACTTAACAATTTCTGCTATGGTGTCCAAGTGACACCAGTTCTTTCTGTATGTGGAGGACAAAATGATACTACAGAAAGCATTCATTGGGTTTGGTCAGCCTCAGTTACTGCTCATGTCTGGTAGCAAATCCAGCCCAGACCTGGTATTCCCCCTGCCATCCAGTTCCAGGACACACAAACCTGTATCTCATCCTCTGCTGCTGCTTCTTCTGCTGCATTCCCAGCTGCTGTTCCACAGGCTGGGCTCGGAGGCAGGTGACCATTGGCCTGGAAGAGGAAATGAAGCTTTTACCAGCTGTGGCTTTCTGGAGGGAAATCAGGACAGTGTCACTGCAGTCCCTGACCTCTGGAAGGACACAGGCAGGACAAGGCACAAGCCAGGCACACACAGAGGGTTTTCCCTGTGCAGCACTCACACAAACTAACACTTGCTGAAGCTGAGCCTTTAAAGCTCCAGTTCAGAACTCTAAGCTGGAGCAGACCAAATGCACACACCAAGTCTGTAAATGTGTATGTGCAGTCCTTCCCCGAGGGTCACACGGTGCTGTGGTGTGATGGCGGAGCTCTCAGTGCAAGGCTCTGCAGAACCCTCCTCTAGCAGTTCAGATCTTCACACTGACCAGGAAAACACCTCCTCAGGTGGGCTCTGGAGTGGGCAAACAGGAGACACCCAGTGAGGGAGCAGCAGCAAGAGAGCTGGAGGAGAAACGCTGGGCAGTTGCTTTGAACTTGATCAAATGAGCAGTGTAATTTCAGCTGACTCACCCCCAGCAGCCACTGTTCCCTCTGGTTTCCTACTGACAAAGACTGTAATGTTACCACCCCACTTATCCAAGTGGGGACTTGCTAACATTTACAGAGCCCAAGAATAACCATCAGGATCAAAGAGCCTGAACTGCAGCACCATGTCATGCAAGTCAAGACAAGAAGCTGAAATGTATCATGGGGCAGTGAGGGAAGAAAGCAGAGCTGGTAAAAACTGGAATGGCAATATCCAGAAAACCAGGGAATGAAAATGCCTTTTGATGATTTGTAAGAAGCATTCTCCCAGGAGAACTCTTCTTTTGAACTAGATAAATATGCTGAGGAAGCAGAAGGTACACACATTTTCACAGCTCTGGCCCACAGGGAATTGAATACACCCATTCACTTTGTAACAGGACAAGGAGCAGATGTCAAACACTGAGTAAACTTTCCCTAGCAGAGAGCAGAAAGACAAACAAAGCAAGGTCAATAAAAAATAATTAAACACAAATGTCCCTGCTGAGGTTCATCAGAACTGCAGGTTCATCGTGAACCAAGACTGGCAACAGACTCAGGCTTTGTCTTCTATTGATGTGAGTGCAGGAGACACCACAAACCTCACCCATCCCCCATCTCCTCTGAGCAGCTCCAGATCCGAAACTGCTTTAGACTGTCCTTGTTACCTGGCACAGGAATTAAAGAGCAGTATCAACTACTTAATTACACCTACAAGCATGTGCCAGAAGCCATCAGCAAGTACCAAAGGAAGCAATCACAGGAACATCTTGTGGCAGTGGAAGTGTGGAGCAGCGCAACAGAGAAAACACATCCCAGAGCAATGATGATGTTCTGAGAGTGAATGCTCGAGATATTCAGCACTGCCCACCAAATTATATTCCATAATGAACAGCACATCACAGTTAGTGACAGCAAGTCACAGCTTTACACAGCAAAACCACATGCCACATCCTAGTAGTTAATCCAAAAATGGAGATGAATGAGTGTGCAAAACATGGTTCTGGCCAGAGATTGTACCTGTTGGTGTTCCTGAGCTTCTGAACTTGAGATGGGATCTGCAGACACTGAGGACTCATCGTGTGAGGTAGGAGAGGCCGGGTTGGTTGCGGGGTGAGTCACAAAGTCTTGCTGTTCACTGGTATTAAATGTGTTTGTTCTTATCTGATCTTCCTGGGTAATTGCAGGCTGCTGGCCAAGGATCAGGAATACCAGGTCCTCCTTTTCACGACAGAGCTCTGTGGAGATCTCACGGAGGGCCAGGTAATCTCGCAGATCCTTCACCTTCATCTTGATCAGCTCCTCCCGCTGAAAAGCTGTGGCTCGGAAGCGCTGGCAGAGGTGGCAGAGCAGGGGCCCACCCTCGGGCTGGTTTGAGCAGGACGTGCAGAAATTCTTCTTACAGTCCAAGCAGATGTGCTGGGAAGGAGAGGGGAAGGAGAGGGGAAGGAGTCAGAGCCAGCCCGTGCCCTGTGGCAGCAGCACGGCGTGCAGGCAGCGCTCCCCTCCCGGCCGCAGCCGAAGGAAGCAGCCGCTGCTCTTAAAGCACAAAACCCCTCAAATCCATTAAACAGTGCCAAGTGGTCACCCCTGCTCCTAGAGGAGGAAGAGGATTGATCCCTGAGCAACCACCATGTTTCTCAGTTCTTAGGGAAGCCCCACTCCATTTACCCAGAATGAAATGTGATATCCTGACAAGATTCCCTCACACACAGGAATCTTCTGCACCTGCTCATGCAGTTTAAGCCAGAGGAAATCAGGAGATGGAGGCAGCAGACTTGTGAGTGCATTCCAGCTGGTTGTGCACATTGCTCTGTACATTAAGAAGCTCCAGCATGAAGGAACTAGTTAAAAAGCATTTCTCTTTCATAAATACCTGCTATGAATGACATTCCTCCCTCCTTTTTTTCCCCTCCAATTTGCTGCAATCACAAAATGAATCCTGGTTTCACCGTAAGAGGGACAGGGAACAGCCAGATCTCACAGACATCAAAGAATCTGACGTTTGTTTATACAAAACCAGCTTATTTTGAAAACAGTATGCACACTTTATACCAGTTAGTGCTGGACAGAAAGTGTTGGAAGTTTTGGAAATATGCCCCAGACAGTTAAAAACTTTACAGATTTAATTCTGTTGTTAAATGTTTCTGTTTGATACTGGTTCTGATCCTGTCACTCAGGGCTTGATTTTCAAAAGTTCCAAGCACTCACAGTCCATGCTGACTTCTGCAGAAATTTGACTGTTCAACCCTTTGGAAAGACAAATTCTACGTTTTCCAATAGGAACAGCAGCAGAACAGCCACATAATGTGCCTGTTAAAAAGTCCTGAGGGAAGAAAGAAGTGGTTTCAGTGCTGGTTAAAAATGCCAATTCACAGCCTCCGAGAAGCCAAGCACCTCTGAAATGCTGACATCCTGATCCTTCAGAGCTGTGCAAGGAAAAACACACAGGTGGAGTTGCAGAAGTAATAAATACAAACTCAAAGACAAAAAACTGATTTATGAACTGCTCTAGTGAATGAAGAACATCCCAGCTGAAAGGAAGCAGATGTTTTACAGGGTGTAAATGCACCACTTGCTTACAAAAGCTCTTTCTGATGCCCTTTTCAGCCTGAAACCCTCCCTGCTCCCCAGTTAACACCTCCAGGCCTCTCATTTACAGCCTGTACTACACTCACAGTGACACACACTGGAAAGAATCCCAATTTCCTGCTCAAGCATTTTAAGACATTAACATTTCTACCACAGAGAGAAACTCTTGAAACCTTATCTCAAAACTGCTGTTTGGGGGCCTGCCAAGGAAAAGCAACTTTCACCAATCACAAAGCAAGGCAGGAAGGGCAATTTCCACAGAACATCCAGTTTGGAGGAGTTTTCCTTAACTTCATCACCATAAAAAAATTAATATGTAATTGACTTTTTGTGACCCTGTGATTGCAGGAGCAATCCTGTTCCTCAGGAAATTTTCAGAGCAGAGACAGGAACTGATGGCTGTGCATGCCTAGAGCAGGGGAACAAAACAAATCCACAAAGGCAGAGAAGTGGAAATTACCCTGTTGGTAACACTTGTCCTCTGAATCTCCCATCTCTGACATGGGCGAAATCAGATTAATTGAGATTTAAAAACCCCAACACCCAACAACACAAAAAATGCACAAAACAAACCCAAACCCTGAAGTAGCCCCACTTTTCTCTGGCAGGGGAAGGTTGGCCTGCAGGTTGCCAAACTGGCTCCAGAGAGCCCCTGTATTGCCAAGGACCTTCCAGCAGCCAGAAAACCCCTACTTGAGCACTCCCACCTTGAGGTATCACAAACACAGCACAAGGGCTCTTCCATCAAACATATCCTTGCAATTAACAGTAATCCTGCCTCAGTTATCAAAGGATACATTTGGGAAGTGAAAATAAACCCAGGCATGTCTCTGACTTAGCAGCTCAGCACTAGGATTTATCTTCAGAGGAAAAAAACAACCTCCCCAGCCTGTCTCTGAGCACCAAGTGTTTAAACATGAACATTTTGGCTACATCTCAGCATCAAGCAGCTCTTACAGCTTCACTGAACTCTGACTGGAAGGGCACTAATTCAAGGCACTGTGATCTTGAGAAGGATTAGTTTCAAATGTTGTACATTAAAACTTTCCTAAAAGGTCAGGCCACATCTGAGTGCTGCTCACTGACAGCACAGTCAGCATGGTCAGACAGCCCTGAAATGCTTTATGTGGGGGTTTTTGTTGGTTTGTTAGGTTCGGGCTTTTTGAAAGCAGTCTAGGCTTTCCTTATGGTCACCAGTGCAGAAAGAATTCATTTTTATCCCCTGTATTTCAGAATAAACATTAACTGGACACTGGAGTTCAAAGGTGCTGCCTCTCTCAGGAGAGAATGCAGTTTTCCATGCTGTCCTTGCAGCACAGTGAGATGTCATACCCTGCTCCCTGCATAGCAACAGCACTGAGGAATTCCCATGGCTCACAAACACACCAGAGTGTTCCAGGGGATGTTTTCACTCCCTCAGAGACCCGATGGGTGAGCTCTGGCAGCCCCTCCTGCAGCTGTTCCAGCATTCCCACCTGCAGCGCGGGGCTCCAGTCACCCCCAGAGATCACTGCTCAGGAGCTGGGGCAGCAGGAAGGTGGGAGGAGGTTTGGGAGCCCCCTTTGGAACACAGAATATAAACTTCAATTTCCCTGACAGCCTGGAGCAGGAGCGGCTGGACACGAGCACAGCTACAGACACCAGATCCCACAGGAAAAGGGGAAGCTGCAGAGGGCAGGAATGTTCTCAACAGCTTTAGCAGATCTTCTACAATTTGTGCACCAGAGCATTCCCTCAGAGAGGAGCTCTCTGAGCCAGAGAGCTCAGCTGGAGCCATTGGTGGCTCTGTACAAGACACTGCTCTAAGGGCAGCTCATACACAACAGATATTTAGGAGATACTGGGGAAAACAGGGCTGTGCTTCTGCTGCTGAGCTCACAACTGCCTGAAATGGTTTCATTTCAGAATTATCTCCATCCACTATTTGCAACCATGCCCAATAGCAAGTGCTGGGTCCAGGGTAATTCTCTCCACAATTATTTGTGAGGACATGTGGCTTAATGAGGACAATGTCAAAGACAACATTACAGTGCAGAGAGGGCCCCACTGCAGCTGACCCAGCACCAGAAGTGTCAGCACACTCACAACCCCACAATTTATCACCAGAGTTTGATTCCTGAAGCAACTGCACTTCTCAGTGTAAAAATGCATCAACATCCCTCTTGCCCTGGGAGTAGAAAGCAGCAGCTCTGCCAAGACCTGCCATTTCTCAGATGTGTGTCCTCATGCATAAATAAAAAGTGCAAGGAAAACCTATTTATGAACTTTCCCATATAATTTAAAAGGGCTGTGGTCAGAATTCACAATTATTTTTAAATTCTCACATAGTTAAGTTCAGTAACTATAGATCAGATACTTCTTAAGCCAGAGTATGGACACAGAACAATTTTCCTCACTGGAACACTTTCAAGCAGAATTGAAGGACCCACCACGACCAAATAATGCCCCAGGCAGGGTTTACTGTCAAATTAAGTCTTGTGGTACCAATTATTTTGGCATTTATATACCCACAAATCAAGTTTACAAGTAAGATAAAATTGATTTGGGTTTGGTCTGGGGCTATTTTTGCTCAGCAGTTCTACACACACCCTCGAAAAACTTCACTGGCTTTTAGTTTGAGCAACAATAGTTTGGAAGTTCTTCAAACATTATTAATCTTCTTGCCACAATATTTTTTTTAAGGACATTGGTGCTTTTAAATAAGAAATTTAATAACTTATGCTTGTTAATGCTTCTTTAAGTGATTATCAGCAGTTTGGCTTTCTCATTGAGGAAGTCTGCTGTAGGATTTCCAGTCCCATTAATGATGCCTGTTAATTGTGACAGAATGACTGCAGACCCAGAAGCAAGGTGAGCTGTCCTTTCCCCCACGGAACGTCCAGCTCTGAGGCTATGTGTATCAAATGTGTGTCTGTAAGTAAACTAAGGCAGGGCAGGCTGAGGACTCACCTTGCTGGAGGAGCTGTCGAAGTGCATCCCGCAGGCTTTGCAGCTGTGCTCAGGAGCAGTGGGAGAGGGGAAGGAGCTGTAGCCGGGGTTGGAATAGGCCTGGGCTCGCGCTGCCGCCGGCGGCTGCATCTCCTCGGGGGAGCCATCCACACAGAACCAGTTACAGCAGCTGGCCCACATAGTACCTGCAGGGAAAACAGCTGGCAGGGCTGGCAGGGACACAGGCTGCCAGCTGAGGTGACAGCACAGCAGGACACGCAGCTCAGTGCCCACCCATGGGTCATTTTCAACAGCACGTTTGTTGGTGTTGATCCTTCCTCTGACAAGGGCACACAACCCCCGCACACGTGGGGGTCAGCATGGTGCAGCTTGGTGAAAAGGGACAAACAAAGATCAAAATAACTTTATTACTGAGACTTCATAGAGTTTAGAGACTACAGTGAAGATAAAATTTATGTTCCATTTGGCTGTATCAGATTCTGAGTTTGCTGTAACAGGCTGTTTCTATTTCACATAAGGATGTAATAATGCATCAGGAAAAGAACATAAAAGCTCAAATTATATGGCACAGAACAGATAAATAAAATCAGCAGCAGGATCATAGATGGCTATTCCTCAGCTTTATCCTAAATCCTTCTACAGATTTACAGCTACAAATCCAAAAAGATAAAATAAAAGCAAGGACAGCTGAGCCACTGATTTCACACACTGCAGTTCTAGGCTGAATTTACAGCATTACAAGGCTAAATCATCACACAGCAGGTCAATGTCAGTGATGTAAGATGTAAGAAAATCAAATACTGGCTTTGGTAACTTGGGAAAACAACTGGAGCTGAGACACAAAATCAAAATGTTTATTTTTCAAGTTAGATTTTATATGTATGCACACATACACACACAAACACACACTTACCAAAAATCCTAACACAGTCCACTGCAAAATATTCAGTTCCAAAGTCTTCTTAGACCACCTCTGCTGCAATATTCCAGAAACACACTGCTATAAACTTGCTTTTGGGAGTTTACAAAGAAATCTGAATTCATCTGGGCATTCAGTTTCTGGAGCACACACCACGTGTCATCACTTATGGGTAAACTGAATACAAATTGCCTCCTCTGCATTTCTGCTCTCACATGGGAGCTCCTGAACTGTTTCTTTTATGTCTTAAAAATCAACTCCCTCACCGATAGTGTTCAGCAACTGCTTGATTTTATAAACTTCTGGAAATAAAATATCTCTCAGCTGCACAGCCAATTCATTGCTCTTTACTCAGTAAGTATTGCCACTGTGAAACTCCAGATTCCCAAGGGAATGAGGCTGGGAAGGGAATCCTAAAGGTTATTGGGTACAATACGCTCTTTTTTTAAGCTGCACTGAAACTTTGGGTCTGATGTACTTTAATTGGGAAGCTTTTGCACTCTGGTGCTGTTCCAGTTTCTGTTGCTTTCGTGGCATCTTTGATCCTGTCAGAACCTGGCTGAATCTGGCTGGTCAGAGTCCCTGCTGTCCTGGCAGATGCCTTTCAAAGCCCACAGTGGGAGCTCAGCCAGGAGCCCTCCCTGCAGGCTCAGCACATTGCAGAGTTTAAATACAAATCTACACATTCACACCCTGGATTCGTGGTGGAGCTGATGTGCTCATTGCTGCAGTGGAAATGACACTTGGGCTGGCACCCAGATCCCAATTAATAGTGTGGATTGCACTTAGGCTGGCAATGAGATCCCAATAAATACATGGAGGAAATCACTGCATGAACAGAAATAGTCTATCATCCATCTCTATTAGCTTTGCCCTGCAATCAAACACGCACTTTAGATGGCACAGATAAAATAAACAATTACCCTTTTTCTCTCTGCATGTTAATTTCCAAGCTCTTTGTTCCACTCTAAAGTTAACAGAGCCTTTCTTTTGCAAAAATACAGAATTCCTACTTGAAATCACATTCTTTGGAGGGTTAATTTGTTCCTAGGAATCACAAATCTAAACAACATGAAAGCTGCACAGTCCAACAAGCATTCACAGCCTCCACAGCAGTGGAAAACTGCATCCAGAGTTCAGCTCCCTTCCTGTTTCAAGGACCCCTGCAAGCTGAAGGCCACCCACGATAACAGAATACACAAATGCTACTGCCTGCCCCTAAAAACTTTGTTTTCCTAAAAAACGACAGCCTACTAATTCACTCTGGAACATTGCAACACGTCAAACATTGGGAAGAAAAACACAAGGCAGTGCACAAACTGGGATAAAATGAGACAGAGCTCAGCATTCAGCTGGGGTTGTAGCTCTGTGATTGCCAGGAATTAAAAGGCCAACAAAAAGCTCAGATGTTGCTTTGGAAGAACCTTAATCCTGCTCAGCTACAAAAGCATGGAAGGGAAATGCCTATAAACAAACAACAAGCAGGACTGTCCTCTGATCCGTAACATTTTTCCAAAGGTCTCTCTGCTCTTGAATAGAAAGGACAAATATAAAACACCTCTGTAGGTGGCTACAGCTGCACTAAGACAGCAGCAAGAAATACAAATAAGATTCAGCAGCTGCCTCAAGAGGGATTTTCATTGTTCTGGACAGGATCAGCTCTAGAGCCAAGGAAATGAGCACTGCCACTGATAGAGGACTCCAAATTACAAGCAGAATGCCTCAGTGGAATTTCAGGATGACAATTTCTTTGATAACTCTACAATGTTTGGTACAGCAAAATTATTCCCTTATTTAGTCTCTTACCCATCTGGAGATATGTGGTCAGCACAGACCAGGAATTGCTAATTTCCCCAAGAGATGGATGGATGGATGGATGGATGGATGGATGGATGGATGGATGGATGGATGGATGGATGGATGGATGGATGTTACAGATGTGGCAGTCTGAGGGTCAGAACCAGAGAGTCCTGCCCTGTCTAAATCCTGTCAATTCCCTGCAAAGGAGCTGCTGTTCTGTACCCAAAGAGCTCCACAGTACATCAAAGTGATAAATTAATGCCCAGACAAAAGAACACCCAGTGGAAAAACCTACTTATGTGTTGTGCTCCAGGGTTGGGAAAATACAGTAACTTGGCTAATAACAGTGTGACAGCTTGGAAAACTTAGTGGCAACATGGATTTCAGAACATCTTGAATAGAAGATGTGGACTTACTGGCACAGCTGACATTACAGGCACTACTGATAGCAGCATTATCCTTGGACAAGGTGCCTGCACTGCCTCATGGAGCCACAGAAACAACTGCTTGAGCCACAGAGCTGAGCTGGGTTTGGCAAAGTGCAGGCTCCATGGCAGGCACCCAACAGTGACTGCTGGCAGCCAAAAAGCACCTGCCCTAAATCCTAAGTGTGCTTGGAGCATCTGCCAGGGCAAAGGGAGAGGGAGTTTCATCAAGGGTGGAGACACAAGATCAAACATCTACCCCCAGACCTGCAAACACATCCACCCACATGGCAATCAGCACCCTGGGAAGGGGCTGTTTCATCTTCAGCTGCTTTAAGGAAAGCCAGAAGAAATCCAATAAATGGCAGGGAGGTGTTTCCCATGGACAAAGTGGTGCCAGCACTCCACCATGCTCTGCTGGACTGCTTTCATTGATTTGATTATTTATTTTTCCAGTATGAAGTTGTGCATGCCATGACTCTCTTGACTGGATTTAAACAGGAGAGTGAAATTCATTTCATCATCAGCTCATTAACACGTTCTACATAACACCACAAGTTCTATATTAATTTAATTCTGAAGGAAATACCAGTGATGTCAAAGTTTTCCTCCCATACATAGTTGAAGAGAGGATTCATAATGCACCCTTGGATTCTTATACTTACCATCTTAATTTTAAAAAGTGTTTGAACTCGGGTTCTCACTCCATATGCAATATCACTGCCATAACCTTGCTAGCTGGAGTATCAGGGATCACAGCCTCCACACAGGATTTATTACACATGCTGTTTGGATTTCATCAAAGGCTAGGCTGTGGCTGCAGAGGGAAACTGTGGTTTATGTTTGAATATAAAATCTGCCTTTATTTTCCTAAGGGTACAAACAACAAGGGACTAGAGCAAGCAAAGGAACATCTCAGAATCAATGAGCTTCCAGCTCTGTATAATAAAGCTCTTGAGGACTGGGTCTGGCTCCTTTTCATGACTGCTTAGGAATTCAGCCGCTGGAATGCAGCAGCACCAAGGAGACACTTGAATCAAGGGATCAAAAGGAACTGAGCTCCCAGGAGCAGCTGATTCTACTCCCACATGAGAAGAAACCACAGCAGCAAGTAGTTCTGCTCCTGAGAGGCCTTTAACCACTGGAGCAGCAGGGCTGGTGACCCTTGAGGCTACTGCAGATGGAGCTGGGTGCCAAAAAGGGAGGGAGATGGAGGAGAGCAGCTCTGCCAGGGCTGCCCTGCAGTGCTCTTTGCTCATCAGCCCCAACAGCTGCCCTCACACCTCCTCTGCTCACCACAGTGAGCTGCTTTTCCACCGGCTCCCTGAACCCCCAGCTCCTCATCCATCAAGAGACACCCTCCTCTCCTTCCCCTTCCCAACCTTCTTAGGGCCTTCAGCACCTGCAGTGAGCAGCCACAGATGCTCTACAACACACACTGTCCTCCAAACACCAGAAAGACAACTTTCAACACAACACACCAACCCTGGGATAATGCTGATCACAACATCATTAGTTCCTGCCACTTCCAGAAGATCAAGGAAACAGTTCAAGAGGACAAAAAGAGATACTGTGGCTTTAAAATACTCATGTATTGATAAGTCTCTTTTAAAAATACTATTTTTAAAATTACTATTACTATTTTTGTTATTAATCCATGCTATAGCCCCTGTAAAATGAATCAGATCTCATTTTGATGAATGCTGTTTGAAATGGTTGAAGTATTTAATGAGTTAACCACCTTGGTGCCCCATTAATAGTGTTGCACAATTGCTCATTGTTACAATTTACTACTTTTTTTTTTTATTTCAACAAACCTGCACTGATAAGAAATGCCTTGCTAAAATTAGGTTCACTAATGACCTACTACTTCCAAACTGAATTCACGGTAAGGTCAAAAAAACAATATTTGCTTGATAACAGAGCTACAGAATAATCTGCTCAAATGCCACTTATGCACAAAGTATTATTTTTATCAGCCTTTGTCCCAGGCACAGACCTGAATTATGATAAATGGTAGCAGCCATATGTTGGGACAGCT